AGAAATTTTCCACATGTGAACCATAAATTCCCATATCCTGCTTTTGGTCAGAGTTGGACTTCCCCAGAGTTGGTCAGACATTCCCCCAGTGGCCTCAAAAGCAAACCAAAAATTCTACTATCTTCTGTCTCCTTCCATTTACCTTCCCTCTCCTCACCTTCGCAGTCAATCTTCTTGAATAAGTTGAGTATACATAACGTCTCCACTTCCTCACTTCTCATTCAATTTTCTACCTAAGGTGAGCTGGCTTCTGTCCCTGCCTCTGTATTGAAACTACCCTTGCCAGGTCACTAATGGCCTCTCTGTTGCTAAAACCAAGAGACACTTTTCCTTACCTTACCTGACCTCTAGGCAGTAATGGCCATTGCCCATCACACTCTTATTTTTGAAACATGCTTCCCCCAAACCATTCCCTCTTCTAGTTTCTTTCCCCCTTTGCAGACTCTTATTCCTTTGCCCATTCCTTAAGTGTTGGTCACCCTTGGGGTTCTTAGAACTTTATCCCAAGCAAAATGAGGAGCCACTAAAGAGAAAGATGACGCTTGTTCCATTATGAAGAATGGATTAAAAAGAACAGGACTGAAAGAGCAAAATCCACTTAGTGAAGTTGTGGTGGCTTCACACCTTCCAGATTTTCTGTTCTTCTCACTCTACATTCTCTCCAAGGATGAGCTGAACACACCTATGGCATCCACCTATGGCCTCTCTAGGTGTAAACTCCTCATTCACTACCTGCAGCTCAGATGTCTCTCCTGATCTCTAGTCCATATTCCCAACCACTTGTGGGACATCTCCCCCTTGCTGGGTCACAGCCCTCACACTCAATATGCTCAGACTGACACCTGAATCTTTCCTACCCCAACCTCTTATGCCCCATACATGTGGTAGCATTGTCCACTGGCTGTCCAAACCAGAAACCTGAGAGGAATCCTTGACTCTGTTCTCCAATCAACTCTCAAATCCTGTACTTCTGGAGAGTCCCATAAATCTTCCTCAAGTTCCTCTTTCCCCATATCCACCCCATCTCCACTAAGTGGATTTTGCTCTTTCAGTCCTGTTCTTTTTAGTCCATTCTTCATAATGGAACAAGCATGATCTTTCTCTTTAGTGGCTCCTCATTACTCTCGGGATAAAGTCCTAACTCCTGAACTTGACTGATGAGACCATACATGATTTGGTCAGTTCTTACTTTCTGCCTCCACTGTACTCCTTAGCCATCCTGAATGCTCCTGAGTGCTCCTACCTCTTAGATTTCACACATATTAGTTCTCTCTTCTCTCTAGCTCAGTATCTCAGACTCATCCTTAGCACCTAACTCAAGACACTTCTACTCGAGCATTTCCTGGGGCCCAGGTGTGGATAAAGTGTCCTATCTACAGAACCTGATAGCACCCAGTACTTATTCCTATTAGAAAATTTATCTTACCCTAGTGGGGGAGACAGACAAGTGAGGAGAGTGTGGGTTCTTGGGGAAAAGGGAGCATAGAAAGAGTCTTTTCTTATTCTTTGCTGCCTGGACCCATGGTATAGTGCCCTGCATACACTAAGATGCTCATTATATATGTGTTGAATGAGTCAATCAGCAAGTATTACCGTCAATGTTCTCCTCCTATTTCCACTTGGCCATTTTTATGCTCTGGCAATCTTTAAGTACTTGAGGCATTCTGAGGGTTTCTCTCATTTCATTTAACGCTCACAACCTCCTGTGAAGTTGGGATTACCCCATTCCATATTTCATCCTCAGGTAAGAAGTGATTTGCTCAAGGTGAGAGGGTCACAAGACTTAGGTTAGGATTCTGGCCCTATGCCCAGGGCCCTTTCCATCTTGATTTTGGTGTCAAACATCAGTCTGCTTTAATTCTACCCAAATTTGTCCTCCATCCATTCCTGTCCTGATGGCTATTTCCATTGGTCAGAGTTCCTTGTCAAATTCAAAGAGACCTGAGAGTATGGAAAAGGTATGAGCAGTGAGAGAATTTTGAGAAAGGTCACCTAGAAATCGTATTTCCAAAACTTTGGTTCGGTGGCTGCTAAGGAGAGGGGGGATTTGGTCTGAAAGAAAGTCAGGGGTTGAGGAAACAGGAGTTCGTGAACTTGTATCACCCACTTGAGTGGAAATGGCTTTATTTAAACTGGAGAAGTCATTAGCCCTGGAACATAGTGTTTTGTGCTTTTGTCCACATGGTGGGGTATGAATGGCAGTTGTCCCCCAAAGGGAAAGGAGCCAGCACATAATGAGTGTCAGGAACATACGGGTCAGGAACTGGTTTTATCTTCCCCCCTGATCCTGTAAACTAGGTATTTGGGCAGCATGAGAAAAATTCTGATTGGGAGAATTACCCAGATCACACAGTCAGTAAGTGGCTGAGCTGGATTCAATATCAGGGTTGGCTGGCTCCCAGGTGCTTTGCATCATATGGCAGACAGTGGATTCTGGAGTCACAATGGATGTGTTAAAATTTGGTTCTATGACTTTACTAGGATGTGTGACTTTGGGAAGCCACTTAATCTCTCTGGGCCTCAGTGTTTTCATCTCTTAAATGTGGATACTAGTACTTTGAGTTGTAGTGAGGACTAAATAAGGTAATATGTATAAAGTATATCCCTATAGGTATGAAGTGCAATATAAATCGTAGCTACCATTATCAACACCATCACCACCACCACCATCTTTGGTCTCTCTACTTGCCAATAAAGGCAGATTCTTCTGGGCCATGAGATAAATGTGTACTCAGAACATTCCTCTTGAAGACTTTAGCACTCTTTGGAATTTAACAATTGGTCAAGGGTGTTGGGTACATGACTCAGAATACATACCAGGAGTGATTGAAAGTATTGTTGAAAAGCAACAAAGCAGACCACAGCTGTATGATGGACAGATAACTCAGCTGGTTAGTTGGGAGTGCCTTCATAGGAACTGTCCTGTCAATAGGGTTCCTGTTTTCAGGGGGAGATAGTAGTTCAACTAGGCATGTTTGGATGTTCTACTTAGGAAGTGCCAAAAATATATTTGAATTGTCTTGATAAGATTACTAGTAATATTGAAAGTACACATCATGTAATAATTAATGTTTTGCGAGTTCTTACTAAATGTCTGGAACTGTGCAAAGCACTTTGTTATCTTCTTTAATCTTCACAACAATTCTTATGTAGTGGGCATTTTTATTCTTTCCATTTTATAGATGAGGCAACTAAGGCTCACAGATGTTGAGTGAGATCAGGGTTGTCCAACAGGTAAGGGGGAAAGCTGGCATTTGAACCCAAGTCCAGAGTCCATGCTTTTTCTCAACTACTGTCATGTATTCCTTCTCATACCCTTATACTGGGGCTTCTTAGCAATCTCTACTGGTGCCTGATTTTGTGGATGACCTCAAGACGCAGTCTTCATTCATGTACAGACTCTATCACTCTGAGGCAGATTCTCCAAAGCAGAAGGGAAGAGAAGAGCATTCTCAGATGGAAAGATGCCCCTTGAGAGTTGAAGTTGGGCTCTGATCTTTATTTTTTCGTGGGCAACGTCTTCCTGTTTGAAACCAGAAGGACAGCTGGCTTACAAGCTCCTTGTAAGGGAGCCAGGCTAGACTCTTCCTAGTGTAGCTTCATATTTTTATTCTATAATGAGAAATAGATTTGATAGTAGCAACTAGAATTTATTTTAGGCCTTTGTTCCAAGAACCAATTAAGGTTTCCACTTTTCCTTGAACTAATTCTGGTATCCTTACATTTTTTTGGATTGAAGGTTAGAGTGTCCTGGACTAAGATGTCTCAGCAGTATCTTTACCTAAACTCCTTCCTTTTTTTTTTTTTTTTTGTGGTTTCCCAGCATCCTTCTCTTTAGGACTTTGAGTATCTCATAAACGTGGTCAAAAGGACTCATCACAGTGATTGGAACTTATGGATGAGATAACACAACTTACTCTCAAGAACTTAATTAGTTTTCCTGGTGCTGACCCTCTAAGAGGGAGAGTTATCAACCATCCTATTTTTTCAAATCAGAATTTGAGAAACAAGATTTGAGGAAGGATTTTTCTTAACATTTCCTGGTTCAAGAAGCACTCTGGAAGACTTAATTATTTTAGGTTAATAGAGAGAGCAAGACAAAGCATTTTGGTTTTTCCAGGACACACCGTCATTACACATATTGGTCAGAGAGAAAATTGTGGCTGGGTTTCTTACCAAAGCTGTATCTGTGTAATGTGTGTGTTGGCGGGAGACTGTGGTGCAGGGGAAAGGCAGCGTTAGTTTCAGTCCTTACAAAAAGATGAATTATCTGTTATGGGAGAAGTCTCAGGTAGCTACTCTTTCCTCTAGAATTAATAAATAAAATCAGTGGAGGTCAGCTGGAGTCTTTGAAGAACAGTTTATTTTTTTTTTTTTTTTTTTAAGATTTTATTTATTCAGCTTTTTCGCCCCAAAGCCCCAGTAGATAGTTGTATGTCATAGGTTCACATCCTTCTAGTTGCTGTACGCGGGACTCGGCCTCGCGTTGGACGGAGAAGTGGTGCCTCCGGGCGCTCCCAGGATCCGAACCCAGGCCGCCAGCATCAGAGCGCGCGCACTTAACCGCTAAGCCACAGACCCGGCCCTGAAGAACAGTTTAAATCAAGAGGAACTGCTGGACACAGCTAGGAGAGTCTACAGCCTACGTACTAATTCTGAGATCTGGACACATTATTTCCCCCTAATTCTTCCTTGCTTTTCCTCCTTTTTCTTTGCTGTTGTTTTTGGGTGCTTACCATTCATCAGACATTTTGCTAAGCAATTTACATACATTATCTCATTTAATTTTCACACAAGCTTATGAGAGAAGTATGATTGTTATCTCCAACTGACAAACAAAGAAATCAGGGCTCAAAAAGGTGAAGTAACTTGCCCCAGATCAGGCAGAGGGAAAGCTAGAGCCAGAACTCAACCCCAGGTCCCTCTGCATCTAAACCTTGACCTCTCAACCACCACATCATACTGTTCCTCACCAAATGTTTTCTGTTATTTATCCCCAGGGACAGGATGAGAACTTCAGTCAATGTTGTGGGTGACTCTTTTGGGGCTGGGATTGTCTATCACCTCTCCAAGTCTGAGCTGGATACCATTGACTCCCAGCACCGAGTGCATGAAGATATTGAAATGACCAAGACTCAGTCCATTTATGATGACATGAAGAACCACAGGGAAAGCAACTCTAATCAATGTGTCTATGCTGCACACAACTCGGTCATAGTAGATGAGTGCAAGGTACCTTTCCCATTCATGGATATCGAAACCTGTATATGATAGTGCATGCTCGATTTCTTAAAACAAAAACAAAAGCCCTGCATGTATTATTTTCACATTTATTTTTCTAAAGAATCATGTAACCTAAGTTTCTATATGAGTCCCAGATCATCTAACTCTGTGTCTAACATGGCAGGAAATAACAGGTCTAACAGTGACAGAGCCAATCATGAAAGAGCTTATTTCATCCATGTGATATACAACAGTCATTCTGATTTCACCATCCACCCACCCCACAAGTTTGATTGGTTTTCTTGAATATTTTGCAGAAGAATTTGTGGTTTCTACATCTTTACTGGTTTTCAAATATTCTATTTCTCAAGGGAAACACCAAGAGAAATACCCAGAATTATTTGATTTATATAACTCAAGTATTCCTCCTTGTTGTATATCACGTATTGGTAAAAAACATACAAACAGAACTTTGTTCAACCATTTTTCTCTTAATTATTTTTGCGGGAAGGTGAGTTTTGACCCAGCAGTGACTTTGCTCCAAGAATGGGAAAGCAATTTCAAGTAAAGGCTAACTATCCTTCAGGACAATTATCCATAGATGTCTTTTAAAAACCACTACATTTCACACACTGCCTGGCAGCGCCATCTTTCCTGAAGCATGGATGTTCTGGACTCTTTTCCAAGCTGTTGGGTACTAAGTCTTCAAGCTCAATGGGCTCTGTCTAGCATTCATTGTAACTAACTTGACATTGTCAAAGACCAAAGATAGAGTGTCGTGACCAGAGTGAAGCAAACTTGGAGAAACCCTGACAGGTGACCAGTCAACTCTGGGGGTTGGGTTGCTAAAATGGTTCCAGGCAGCAACCGAGGACAATCTGAACCCAACACAGATTTCTGTTACCTTTTTGACTCCTGTTGACAAGATATCATTTAATAGTTAATTTCTTCCTATGTTATTTTTGACTTGTTCTAAATGTACACCATGACTTCTGCTAGGCAACTAAGGATGACACAGAAACAATTCTCTTTACTGGACTGTAACATAGGTCCAGAAGTCTAATGGACCAGCCACAGTCTTCTGCCCATCCCTTCTATATCAGGTACATGTGTGGGTGAACCAGGGCTCTGATACAAATTACAGAGGGACCCCACCCATGAAGAGGCAATTGCGTAAATTAATTGAGTCAGTGAAAATGATTCAAATTATTAGAAGTTCAGATGTACCTAAAGGGTATACTCCATTCTCCTGGAAAGTTAGTGTTTCCCACATCTAAATGAATGTGCTGGATTATTCTCCATCAAAATGTTAGTTTGAGTCAACCAGGGTCAACATTCCCATGGAATGGCTTTATGCTCTATTGTGTTTAACAAGTATTTATTGTGTGCCTTGTGGATTTCAGTTGAGTACCCCCATCTCATTCCTATGACCTCTGATATTTTGATCATTCATCAAGTGTTTATGGAGTGTCCATTATCTGCAAAGCCTGAATTAGGCATGGCAGGACAGCAAAATGAATGTATGATTTTGTAGTGGAGATAAGGCTTGATCCTAAATTACTGCCATACAAGGTAAAATAGTAATATGAAACAAAGTGAAATCACCATATATATTTTTTAATTTTGCAATTATGTATAAGAAGAATCCTAGTGGTCAATAGCATGGCCCTTTTGGAGCGTCTCAAGAGGCTTCTTAACAATATTGTATAGGATATGTTCTGAAGAAGAGGGATATAGGCATGGACAGATCTTTAGATTTCAGACTTCCTAGATTAGATTTTTTTTCTTAAAGGATATCAAGTACTTCAGGAGAAATTTGCTCCATTTTTTAAACAAAACAATTCAAGCCCTAAAGGGAGATGTTGTAAACTATCCCTACCACTGGAAAGTAAGCCCGTGAGGGGAGAGACTGTGTCCCCATTTATCACTGCTGTGTCATAGCACCTAAGGCAGTGCCTGGCATGCAGTAGGTGCTCTATACACATTTGTTGAATGTATCCTTTTAGCATCTTGACCCTATGCTTTATTTCAGATGTTTTTTGCTGGACACGTCCATAGAAATAGTGGCTCAGTCTCTCTATATCATTGACTACCCAACCAACTACCTGCAGATGCGTTGGCGAATTAGCATTTAGATGGTCAAATGGTGAAACTGAGCAAGTCATGGAAATGATGAAGTGGCCATATTGGTTTAATTAACTATTCCAGCTGTTTGCATTTTTTGGTGAAGTGATTGGGTTCAGCTCAGTGAAGGTTAGTTGGTCCTCAGCCTTTGCTCGGGGAGGCATATTGGCTCTTCTCACTCTAGACCGACTAAGTGAGTTGACATTGATGCGTGAAGGAGGCAGCCAGAGCTGTGGAGATGAATTTGCACACTTTCCCAGAATATCTAAGTCACATTTATTCATGCCTTTGAACTTCCTCCTGGTCGATTCTCAGTCTCACTGTTTTAAAAACTGAGATAGGAGACATCACTGTTTACTGCCAGTGCTTTCCCCTTGTTCTTTTTCTATTGCTCAGGTAGTTGGAGCGGAGAGGAGTGGAATGGACTGGGGAGTGGAGTCCCGGCTTCCTTTAGCCCATCCAGAAAAGGAAATGCCAAAAAGCTGCTGTCCCAGCTACTTTTGGAACAAAGGCCCCAGTATTTAAAAAACCTAAAACCCACCACCACCCCAAAGTGCTGTCTGGTTTTCCAAAGGCTGATTTATAATGTTACACAGCTATTGATCTGGTTCATCACTGAAAGCCAAGCAGGCACATTCAAGGTCAGAGTGAAGAGGCAGCTTCTCCAGGCAGACAGTTTGTTCCTGGCAGTCTTTCCTGACAGTTCACTGAAGGGGAAACAAATTTGCTGCAGCTCTGGTCAAACCACCTCAAGCATTGTTACATCACGTTGGTCTCTGTTTTCAAACTCTTGCTTTGTAATAGTAGTTTGAAGTTGTGCAATAGCTTTTTTATTTTAATCATAATAACTGCATGGCGGGGGTAGTCATTGCTTGTTGCATGGTCTTCCTAAAAAAAAAAAGTGGGGGCCTAATGGGGATTGGAAGATTGAATAGTTTTTATTTTCATTTGCTTGGTTTGTGAAGGGCACTTGATTTTCTGTTCCTAGCATGTTGTGTGTGTTTATAGTGCATGCGTTTCACTTCCACTTGGGTAAGAAGAAAAGTCAGATTTCTTTCAAACATTGCTGCATTTGTCATGTCTTCATATCCTAATGCTTCCATAAATGCAGTCTCTCCATTATGTGGAATATCAGTCGTGGGTTTAAGTTTGCACATGACGTTGAGGACAGACAGATGGAAGGTAAGCTAGGAAAACTACTTAGAAGTGGAGGGGAAAACCTCCTGTTCTGTGTGAGGGTTCAGTTTGCTTAGAGCCAGGGAAGCCTAATGTAGACAGCCCAGTGATTGTATTTGAATGTCTACATTGAGATAATTGACATATATAGATGTCACTGATCCCAGGCTTTTAATCCCTCCCTTTTCTTTTTAGTTTGCCTATTTGGTATCCAAACCATCATGATTTCTGATTTTAAAATGGAACATGTATAAAATCCACCTGGCCTCATTGCAACTGAACCTTTCACATGCATGAGTAGAACTAGCTGCCTAGTTCTGGATTTGGTTCCTCTGTGGTTGTATGGAGTAGCACAAGGACACTATTTTTTAAGGACTGCATTATTGTGTGATGGGTCAATGGGTAGTTAGACACCCCCACCACCCTAAAAGCATGGTAGAAGTTATCCTCCAAATTGCAAAGTATCTCTAGTCCCTCAATTACCCCCCAGGGCAAATATGTATATTTTAATGTTCACAGATCAATGCTGAAAACCAAGACCAACTCAAAATCAATTTGGAAGGAACAACATTTAAAACTAACATTTAAGTCGTGTAGTATAACCTGGATCTGGTGCTCCTCCACATAACCCACGGGGTGGTTTTCTGGTTCGTGGCCTGTAAGCTGGATGTTGATGATAATTATTTTCAGGTAACTCTGGCAGCCAACGGAAAGTCAGCTGACTGCAGTGTTGAGGAAGAACCTTGGAAACAGGAAAAATAAGGACATGACTCAGCCAATTCTTGAATAAACTCCCCAGCATATCTTATGGTAAAAGAGGATATACACAAGCGTTCTTTAAAAAGGAAAAAACACGTCTACTTCTGTGTTTACTTAATCTGCTAGCTGAGGCTTAGAGGATCTGTTGTGAGTCACTCGTAGGCAGGGTGCTGTGTCTTCGCCAAATGATGCTTCATAACTATCTAGTTTCTCACTGTGTTATTGTTTCAATGGATGCTGCTGGAGGGATTGGTTTGAATTGAAGACGCGTTCTTGCCACCTTCCCTTTTCTCTCAAGATGCAGAACTGTGGATGCTCTTTTCCCAGGGGACATGACTAAAGCAGCATGGGACCCTCCAGGGACTAGGGAAAAACGAGCAGATGCTCAGTGTGTTCTTCCTTCAAGTGTTCTCCATGCCTTGCCTTGTAACGCACAAGAGATTCTGTTAGAAGCCTCTAGAAGTAAATCCCTTTAAATGCCTTGTAGATTTTACCCTTTTGTTGATTAAAAGAAAGTACCTGTCTTAGAGAACTCTTACAATTTATCTTCTGTATACTCTTTAAGCTGAATGTTTCAAAGAGCATTGTAGTGGGAGCCATACTCTTAGACGCACCTGATTATGGAAGCCACTGAATCTCTGCTCTTCCCCACCTAGTCTATGGGAACAATTATTGAAATTTCAAAGTGTATTTCATCACGTGCTCTAAATTTGATAGTGGATTAGGATGCAATTGGCATATAACCGCTGTATATATTGACAATAGTAAGGGAGCACAGTCAACATCAATTTTAACCAGATTTGAATATTCAAATTTGTTTAGGTTTGGTTTGCACCATGTGGCATAGTGAAATCGAGTGAGATTGTTTGATCTATGCTTCACTTTCTTTGTTTCATCCATAAAATTCTTATTTGGGTTTCTAACAAAAAAGACATATTTAATCCCCAAATTATTTCTGTCATATTCTCATCAAACTAGAAGACCTAATCATTTTACTCTCCTCGCACATGGAGGACAGTTGGGTTGACTGTGCTCCTTTTAATACCATCTCATGATAAAAACAGAAACAGAAATGAAATATTGTTAGTTATCTAATATGTAGGAAGTTTTTTGTTATATTACATCAGAGCACATAAAACCAGTTACAGGACACAGTGGGAGCAGAGGCAATCTTCCTCCCCAATATTCTCTGTGGAAAGGAACAGAGAACAAACATATGTGCAAAATCATATAAAGGTGACGTTCCTATGGCATAGTCAAGGCAGCCTTGAACCATGAAGGGGAACACAGGATGGCTCTGCACAACTTCACAGATGGAATCTTTTCAAGGCTGTGAAAGTTTGCAGAAATAAGTAATATAATTGGAGTAGCACAGTGCCTTGCATACTGTAGGCACCCAATGACTCCTGAATGATTGATTCAGCAAGCTAAATTTTTCAATGTTTGTACTATCATTTTCTATTGAATAACCCACAGTATTTCCCTAAGGTTGCTGGGTTTGGAAGTTTGCTGAGGACTTGAACATGAATCATTGGGAAATAAAGCACATTTGACTCTTTGGAGCGTGGTCCACATGTGGGAGTAGGCTGGTCATCTGAGGCCAGCAGATGGATGCTGAGATATTCATGAATAGTCATAGAGTCCAGATTCTCTGAGCAGGGGGTGTTTATGGACATCACATAGCCTTTATTACGAACTCCTTGTGACTCTTCTCTTCCAAATCACATGCCTTTAGAATGTACAAAAGACATGAGATTCCAATTGTTTTTGTCTCTTAAACCCTAGTTATTTTTGGATAAGGATCACTACTGAGCAGTATTAAGCAACTTTTTGCCTTTTTTTTTTTAATGGCATTAGTCTTCATTTTCATTTGATGGCCAGTTGACAGGGTGGCCAAGGACGTGCTGAAATGTAGTAGTGGAAACTGCATTCTTTAAGCAGATGTCATGGGTCAAGGGGACAGTTCCTGGCTTTAGCTGTGACGCTGTTAAGGATTGTCTTAGAGTGGTGCTTCCAAGAGCCTTTTTATGGTGAAGAGAAGGATCTGGGTGAGGCATCTAGGAGCTTGTGGTTTTTGCTGTTTAAGGCCAGCTTAGCACCTGTACACGCTGACGTGTTTCTTGAAGGAGTGGTCTCAGGGTCATCTTCCCAAGACTCTGCCTAAAAGTCTTCCTGGTTTCCTTTGTCTTCCACTTTTTCCCAGTTATCCAGTTCGCCTATAAATATATAAGCGGACAATGTATTCAGAAGAAACAAGGTGCACAGCTTAACAAAGCAGGTTTTTCGGGTTTGAGACTGTATACAATAAGTTTCATGAGAATATACTTAGGAAATCACATTTATCTGGAAATCCAACAAATCATATTAATAATAAACAATTTCTCAAATTCAGGACTAGCCTGAAAATTCATGACTATATACAGCTGACATATGACTGTGTCCCCTGTTTTTCTTAGGCCTCCTTCATTCCTTTTATGCCATGCCCATTGGGGTTTTCCTTGCCCAGCATATGTGCCATAAACAGAACAAATAGATTCAGAGTATACCTCTAATGACCTTTTTCTAAATAGGATATGTATAACGTGTCAGTTATATGTAGAGATTTATATTAATAGGTCCAACACGGATATAAATGCTGGTAATAGTCCATTAATAGTTGATGATGCATAAATGTTATATTTATATACAGACGTGGCAGGCCAGATACATACACTGCATCCTGTGTGGTCTGTAAGTCAGGGCTTTAGCAACACCATTGTGTTAGAGACTCATTCACTCTTTCTAGGAATCAGAATCATTTCAGGAGAAAACCGACTAAGTAGACTTCAATGCTCCCCTTTCTCATTTTTGCTGTTGAGAAACCCAAGAGGAATCACCATTTGATTACCTACTACAATTCAATGACTCAAATCCAATCAGCGAGAAGAATGGCTTATCTCTCCAGGTGAGACTTTCCCTTGGATCTTTGAGGATGTGCCTCCCAGGCAAAAAGCATCAGAGAATGAAGGCAATCATGTAGATCACACAGATTGTCAATATAGGACTTCAGGTGACTGTGAACCAAGTAGATGTCAGATTCAATTCTTTACTTCCTATTGGGCGTGGAAACACAGCCTATAGCCTCATTGCCTGCAGAAGTTACCATGCCTGTAAAAGACAAATATTTACTTCTCCTCTCCAACTCCTGGTCAGCCTAAAGAAAGAGTGCCAAAATGCCTAGCTCCTGGGTTTAGATTGGTGGAAGTGGAGAAAGGCTTAGGGGAATTTCAGTTCATGGGGAGATGACTCCTGGTAGGTAATGCCAGGAATCCCAACAACAGATTGATTAGAGAGTCTCAGGTCATTTCCACTCGTGCATGGAGAAGTATATCATTTGCATGTGTATCTAGTCAAGAAGTCCTTGAGGAGTTGGGTAACTGATCCACTGGGTCCCCGAAAAGAAACCCAATCCTGCCATGATTTTGCAAATAACACACTTCCCTTTGTTTTCAATAGCAAAAGTTATGGTACAATATTTCATTTTTGACAGAATCAGGGGTTCTGTCTTGCTATATTTACCCATGAAACACAGCAGTAAATCAAATAGAGACGTGTGTGCTCGGAGAGAATTCTCCATAATTCAGACTCTTGATGAACAAGCCTCAGCAGCCCGTGCCTGGTGTGATGACTCAAAGCGCTCAGCAGTTACACCCACTGGAGGTGGCTCTTCCCACTCCGCTGCTTTTAAACTCTCGGGGCCGTGCATTTGTCTGGGCTGCTGATTCTGCTTTGCTTATTCTCCAAATGAATTCATTCCAAGCCAAGACAAAGGACCAAATGGGATTTCTCAGCTGTTGTGAGACTCGCTCTTTGAATAGTAAAGTCTGGGACCCTCAGAAGATTCAGTTTAAGCAAAGAGCCTGAAGGAATTCTGAAGTGAGAGTTTTGTAACTCTAGTTGTCAGAGAAGACTAATGGTCTCAGTATCTGTGGCAATTCCTGGCTAAAACATAGAAGAAGGGCCATTGAGGGCCAAGCCAGGCAGGATGCGCTGCAGTCAGATTGTGCTCCTTGGACAGAGTGAGTTCAAAGCCGCTCATGCAACATTTGCTTATGATTTTCCCTAAAGGAAAACCCAATTTCGCACTCTTCCTCCTCCTTTCTTCTTATTCCATTTATCATCGTTGCTGCTTAAAAGACAATTTAATAAACGACCATACGAGTTAGTTGCAAGGGCTGGTTTTAGAGTAGATGACGGGAAATCTTAATTGAATAGTATCTAATTTCATAGCATAATACAGCGAAGTCAGGTAATGACAGAGAGATGATGAGAAACAATCAGTTGGTAGAGGAAACATTTGACTTAGACTGCCAATTTTTAGCTGTATAACTTACACAAGTCACTTTACACCCAAGCCTCATTTCTTCCCATGGGTAAACCAAAGGGGTTGGATTAAATGATTAAAATCCCCTCCCAGCCCTAAGAATCTATGATATTATTATCTCTGCTTTAATTTCTTCTTGCATAAGAGGCTTACTACTATAAAATACTACTTATTTATATTACATTTTAAGTCAGAGGGACCCACAATAATGAGTATTTGGATTTTTCTCATCTTACTTGGGGGAAATTAAATTCAAGTCTCTGTCTTCATTTGACTTTTTACAACAAGTTTGGAAGATGGCCGCATTAGTCCACAGTTTGGTGTTTTGGGACACAAACAGGCATCCTTTTATAAAATTGCCCTTTCCCTAACTCACTGTCCTAGCACAGGTAGCAATTCAGCTCAGGGAAAAATGCTGCCAGAGTCACCATGCGGGGACTGGACGAGTCTACATCCTCACTCAAGGTCTTGCATCATTCCTTCTGCACCAACAGAGCCCACTCCAAATACTCAAAACACAGTTTTCTCCAAACAGTCCTAATTGCCAGCCCAGTATGGGAATTTGGGAGTCTTTGGCAAATAAACTTGAACGCTCTTATGAAATTTGGTTCAAGACTTAAACGATAACAGCAACTATCTGTAAATACCTTCTCTTTCCACCTGTATACAGACACGCACATCCATGCACAGGGTGAGCCCGGACCAGGTCCTTTCTCTGGAGA